GAAACTACTCCTGTTGGCCGAGAAAGCTGCCAGCTAGCAGTTTTAGTCACATACTTCAGTTCTGAAGCTTTACATTAATGTCACCGCCCTAATTGGTAACACTAGCTTACTTGTGGTTTTGTGGGTGCTTAAAAAAATTCCTTAGTGCACCTTTCATTATAAATATTTTGTTATGCAAAAGGCCATCAGAAAACATGCCTACAGTGGGTCTCATAGAAAAAGGTAAATACATATTTAGGATGAGCCTCTGTGATATAAGATATCTATAAATACATAGACATATAAATGAAATTTTAAGCCAAAAATACAACACCAAGTGGGGGGGGGGGAACCAACCAAACAAAAACCACCCAGAAACTGTGGCTGGTGACTATTAAATTTCAAATAATACAACTTTAACAGGGAGGGGGAAAGCTTTTTTATTAGTTTATCTACAGTCAATTATAAATTTTCAACAATCAAAGTCTTTTGGGGGGCAAAGTAAGATCCAATTTAGTCAGCATTTAATTTGTAATTGTACTATTCTCTTTTAATAAATATACTCTTACGATGTAGGCTGCAACCTGATTTTTAGAGACTTGTTCAATGTAATGTACCATTTGGTAGATAATAAGTGTAATTTAAGTCAAGACTTTCAACATTATTTTGTTCATCTAAAACAAATAGGGTGCCATTAAATATTGACTATTTTATTAACTCAAGAGCATCTGGGAAAACACTTATGATTAGGTTAATTTATGTTATATTTTCCCCTCAACTTGTAAAAGATTAATCAACCATTTTATGGTCTAATTTAGGTGCCTAATTAAAAACAGAGTTCAGCACATGCAGCACTGTCTTGCTAATAAATCTTGACAGCTTTGTAACATGACGGTTTATATTTCAAATTGTTGCGTATAAATGTCGATTTTTTGATCTTCACCTCACAGATGCCAGTGAGCTGCAAACTTGGTTTAAACCCCAGGACTGCGTGTAATTATTTCAAAAGGGAATGCCTCCATCAGATTTTATCTTCAATTTCCCTCAGTGAAGACACAAATAGTCCTTGACACTACCTTTTTAAAATAGTTGAGAAAAATAGGGGGGGAAAGGTTTTTCAGTATTTGTTAAACTATAAATCAAGGGAAAATGTATTTATTCCCCCCCCCCATTATTAGCTTCCAAGAATGGTTTTATAAATTACTAGGGTTTAGAGTATTATTGTAAAGAAACCTCAAGTGTTAGATATGAATGTCTTCTGATTAATGCGCTGTTACTTCTTCAGTTTTGATTTAAACACTATTGTTTTAAATGAACAAATTCAAGTAGTTTTGAAACATGTCCCCCTCCCACACCTCCCACTCTTAAAAAGGCCAAGAGGAAGAGAATAAATCTACTCCTCAGTAGGAGCCTTCACTGTATTCTCTTGGTCTTTCTTCTTGGGGGATATTTTTTGTCATTTTAATGATGCCTTTGATTCCCTTGGTGCAGAGAAATTAAACTGCCACAATGATGTCAGTAACGCACTCCTAAAACAACTTTGGATTTAGGAGCCTGTTCTGGAGTTGATGTTCTTTCACACTGACAAAGTAGGTGATGTACATGGAGGACTACAGAAAACAGGCACACTCTATAAATTAGGCTCAGTTTTGAGCACATCATATATAACTAATACCATGTTTTGGTCTTTTAATAGAAGAAACGAAGGCACAAGCAGGCAAATCAGCTTATCACTTTCTAACTGTGACATTTGGGCAAGTTACTTAACTACTCTATGCCTGTGTTGCCTCAAGATTTAAAAGTACCTACTTCACAGCTTTGTAATGAGGATTAAATTTGTTAATCCTGTAAAACTTTGAACAGTGACTGGAAAGGTAGCTATCATCATTTTTCACACACACACACACACACACACACACACACACACACACACACACTCACTCTCTCTTTGTTTAATGTTGTCAGCATCTTGAAGTGTCAGATAATTTTACATAACCAAACATGGAAAGAAGAATCAATGGGGGAGAAATTCCGCCAATGTCTAACACATATATTTCTACATTTTAAAAAATAACAATCAGAAACTATCTGGCCATGAAATGTTACTTTGAAAAGGTCCTAAATTGAAGGAAAACTTAAAAGAGAGACGCATTAGAAAAGATATACATTTCATTTTATATCATTCTAAATTTAAATCGACCTTCCTAAATATCCAGAGTTAGTGTTTTCTGAGCCTTCACTTAGAGGAATCTCACCCTCAGATTCCTCCAACACTGCAGGCTCCTTGGTCAAGGACAGTCCCGGGATTGGCCCCATTACATCCCATCAGCATTTGCTGAACTTGAGAGGCTATATTTGAGCAAGAGCCCGTAATGAAGTGAAAAAGTAAACCCAGAAGATCCCTAATCCCAAATTAAAACAAACTCCAGTTCCAGGGCAGATCCAGTGCACTTGTGAGGGTTCTGCAGCCTGCTTAGGGCTGAAGAAAAGATCTGGTTGGGGGCAGGCTCCATGTGACCCTCCACTCCTGTTGGGCTGCTGGTGTCTCCTTATGCCCAATGGAAAGAAGTGCTATTGGATTCCAAGGCATCATGAATATATGCCCCTCTTGATTGGGTCTCAGTCGCTGTTACCATTAACGACTTGAGCACGAGGGTTCCTCCTGACTCCAGGCCTCCCCCGCAAACAGGCTGTCTTCTAGTCACCATACATGCCCAGAGTTTCTGTCCCAAACTTCTCCATTTTCTTCTTTTAAAGACTTGTTTTAACAATGCTTCTGAGCTGCACTTCTCTCTGGTTAATGATTATTTATCCTCTCCTCCAGTCGGCTTGTTTGCACTGACAGAGCAGGGTGCCACCGCACGCGCACCCCCGGGAGGGCGGCGGGAGAACTCCAAGGCCCGCGCCTCCAGCAGCCGGGACAGTGCGGCCAAGATCAGCTCAGCGGCTGGCTCCTTGGAGCGAGGTCTGTTCCTAGTTAAATGCACCGCCTCCAAAGTAACTCTGAAGTCCACACATGTGCCCAGACAGCGGAATATTTTTAACTAATTTTTGAAATGTTAACTAAGCATATGTTATTGAAAAGTTGTGTTTTCTTTTTCCACTTAACATTTCCTAGAGACAGCGGGGGAGCTGCGTGTGGGGGGCAGCGTGCCTCTTTTGCAGCTTGTTGCGTGCGGCTCACTGGCTGGCACAGGGAGCCCTTGTTTCCCTGCGCTCGAGCATCATTTTAGGGAGCTGCTGGGGAGGGTGGTGAGCCTCTGACACACAAGTTGCATCCAAACCCTGCACTCCGCCCTGGCGATCACCCCGCTGCGGTTCCCCAGCGGTGCGCTCCTGGGGTGCAGGCTTCCAGAGCGACTTGGGTCTTTATTCTTTATTTTTGAACCAATCAAAGGAAACGTGGCAGGTGGAGGGCAGCCGCAGAAGAGACTGCAAGAATCTCCTAGTGGGGATTTCCACAGCCCGCCCCAGCGGCTTCTAGAACGGCTGGGTGCTAACTATTCAGGTTAGTTTCCTGCCAGCTCCTCCCAACCCGGCCCCTAAGAGTGTCTGATCTCAGAAAATCCCGGTGCCTCGGGCCCTGGCGGGCTCTACCAGGAAGGCTTCTAGTGGTGGCCCGCACCCTAGACCTGGAATCAACATTCCGGGAGGGGAAGGGGGTAAGCTTAAAAACAAAAGTCAGGGGACAACAATAATTATAATAGTGAGAGCCCCCCACCCCGCCACTGACCACTGACTAGCACCGCTTCACTTGCCTTTCCTGCTTCAGGTCCACTGCCTGGCAGCCCCATCCCTCATCTCCGGTGTCCAGCCTGGGAACCGTGACCGTCACGCCAGGCTACACCTCAAGACTTGGGCAACTCCTGACAGTCATTTTCAAAACATGGAAGACAAAGGGGAAGAGGGAGAGTGAGGTTGGAAAGGGTGTGGTTTTAATTCGCTAGGTCAAGCCCCAAATCTCAAAGTTCGGCCTCTTTCCTCCAAAGGAGGATGGCGCAGGGAGTAGGGTTCCGTCCTGGTCCCCGCCTCGCCATTATTGTCCGATGTCTTAATCCTCTTGGGGCTAACTGGACCTGAAGAGGGATCAGAGCCCAGAGTCCAAAAACTCGCCCCAAAGACCTGAAAGTAGGTTGCAGGAGTCATGACTATGACCCCGGGGCTGCTGTCCCTTTAGAATATGTGCCCTCGACCCGAATCAAGAAGAGAGTTTGCTAAAGGTGCGACTGGGACAATCTATATTTCTCCATCACTGGACCCTTTATGTTCTTTGCGCCATGAGGTGCAAAAGGTCCTGTGGGGCACGCGTCCCCGCCGCCTCTCAGCCCCGGGCCTGGGAGGTGCAAACCAGCGGGCGCTGAGTAGCCTTCCAAGGGACCACCGTTCCTGGCTGCAGTGCGCGCCGCGCCCGACAGGGACCAGCACAGCTCCACGCGCCGTGCAGCCGCCGGAGGCGCAGGGCTGCGCGCCCAGCTCCACCTTCCCAGCCCAAGCAGCTCGCAAATAAAGCAGGTCCCCAGTCCCCTTCGCTTCCCGCAACACGGAGGGTGGTCATCAAAAAGTTTAAACACTTCCAGTGGTGTGGACTGCACGCAGTCCTCAAGCCCTCGTCCCTATGTGGGGAGCAGAAGCTCACACCCCGGGCTCCAAGAGGGGGAAAAGTAATTAAGGGTAACATTGCATTGACTGGTTCAAGTGGGACCCGGCCAGGTGTACTGGCTTCCCTGGCTTGGTCTGTCATTGGCTCGCTTCTTTGTGGTGAGGTCGCTGGGTTAATTCGAGGTCTCAATGGGCCACTGGGCCGCCAGGGCTCTGTGAGAAGTTCCGGGGTTTTAGGGAGAGCTGACTCGGCGCGTCTGGACTGCACGCGGCGTGGCCGGCCCTCTAGGTGCGGTCATTCCCTCCCGCCTCAGTGGCTCGAAACTGCCCTGCCACTTGGTCAACACACACGCCACGTCTCCCTTCTCTACCGGGTGGGGATGAGGGGGGGAGGTGTAAACGCTGATCGCGGAGAAACTCACCGGTACCAGGCGAGGCCCTTGTCGTAGCTGCGGTCGAAGAAGTGGGGCTCGGCGCCCACGGCGCGCACGTCGGGGTGCACACGCAGGAACTCAAGCAGCGCCCGCGTGCCCCCCTTCTTCACACCGATGATGATGGCCTGCGGCAGCTGCTTACTCCCGGACCCGCTGAAGAAGCTGGAGATGGGGCTAGGGGAGTCTGGAACCTCGGGACTCTGCTCCTCCTGGCTCGCAGCACCCTCGGCCGCCTCCTGGCCTGCACCTAGCGGCGTGGCCGGCGGCGCCCTGAACGACAGCCTGGGGGGCGTCCAGTCTGGAGCCGTCGTCAGCACTGGCGGGACGTGGGCAGCGCGGGAGCCCGAGCCGAGCAGCAGCAGCCCTGGCGCAGCGGCGCACGAGCCGACGCACGAATACAGGAACATGTAGAGCCAGACGCAGAGCATGGCGAAGAGCAGAGCGAGCTTCCTCCTCACCGGCGGCGGCGGCGGCTGTGGCTGCAGCAGGAGCCGGCCGGGGACATCGAGGCAGGACCGGTCGCCACTCAGGCGCTGCCCCATCCGCTGCCCGCGGGCGCGGCCAGGAGCATGGCTCAACACATGGCGTGGGGCCCGCCGGCGCAGTGAGCGTGGAGAAGGTTGCCTGATCCGCTGGGCGCCCGGGTGACTCCACTTATTGCCCCCGCACGCCCGCGGCCGCCGCCGCTGCTGAGGCTGCTCTTCCCCAGGTGGCGGCGGCAGCTGTAGCGGCGACGGCTCTTGACATGTTGCCCGGGGAGGAGCCGCTTCGGGAACGCCAAGTCGAGCAGCGGCAACTGCTAACCAAGGAGTTGCTCCAGAGACACGACGCCCCGCTCTAGATCAGGAGAAGGTTGCACTCCCGCGGCTGAGCCCAGGCCTCTCCAGCCGGTGCGCGCGGCTGCTCGCGGCGCTGCCTCTCGCAGTCCTGAGCGCTGAGCCTGAGAGCAGCCCAGACACTTACCCACGGAGGCTGCGGAGAAGAACTGCGCAGCGAGGTGGCCAGAGATCGAAGTGAGGTGGGCGGGGCCGGCTTTCCGGAGTGACGGCTTGCTCCACCTACCACAAATCCCGAACACCGTGCAAATACGAGCTCTTCGCCAAGGGCGCAAGAACCAATGGGCTCTAAGAACATGGGGGTGTGGAAAGGGTTCGGGGCGGTGGAGAGTAGTCGGAGGTTACTATTGGCTGTGGGGTAAGGAGTGGGCTCTGGGGGGCGGAGCCAGGTACTGGGGACAGTAGCCAATGCTAAGAAGTATGCGTGAGTGACCCAGCGCTGGGAGCGGTTGGACCCGCCGGGGTGGTGCCCTCAGGCGTGCGTTTCCTCGTTCGCTCCGGAGGAGCCAGCTTCGCTGTAGCATCCAGATGTGGAGGCACGCGTTTCTTAACCAGCTGTTACGGGCGGGCTCGTTGTTTGCGTTGAGGAGTGAGGGGAGCCAGGCCGGAGGTGTAAGCAGCCCACAAACCCGCCGTGCCCAAGCCCAGACAGGCACCGGCTTAAGAAGTTTAAGAAGAAAGCATGCTTGGAAATCCCTATCTTTTTTTTTTTTTTTTCCTTTGCCAGAAGTTGTCCCTCGGCTTGCTGGTTAATTGGAGTCAGCATAAATTCCCTTTAAGAAAACCGTCCATGGTCGCCCAATAGTGGCCGGAAAAAGTTGGGGACATGGGGGAGGGACGAGGAAAGATCAAGATTAAAAGAATCTAGTAAATCTCTCCTAGTCCAAAAGTGAGTGTGAAAGTCACGTATAGAAACTTTCATCCAGATATTTGCTGGGAGCGTTAGACTTGAGACATTTTTCTGTCTTCCCTGAAAAGATAATAAAGCCAGCATTCTTCATTTTAGGAAAATATTTAGCAGAATTTGAGTTGATGGTATCGATTATTAGCATTGTTTCCTTTTTCTTTTTTGCCACCTCTCCCCTCTCCCGCCCCCGCCCAACAACTACGTGGAATAAATAGATCTCTGGATTGTATTTATTTGCTGATCCAAGCCCGCTCCACATCACGGTCCCCAGCTATTTCTCCCTGCGGGGGCGCACGCGGGACAGCGGGGCTCGAAGGCCTTGTATCTGCTCGCCAGGCGAAGCCGCAGAGGGCGACATCTTGAAAGATCCTTGTCCTGGCATTTGTGGTCGGGATGCTGGGGTCCCCAAGGCGCGTTCAGAAAGCTTTCTGTGCGGGCTGCGCAGCCCCTGCGGCGCCAGCGGCCTCGAGCGCAGGCCTGTGAGCCGTTCCCGGGCAAAGCCTTCCTTCCCACTGCGTCCCTCCATCTGTTACTCTCCAACCCCGGGGACGAGCGTCGCCCACGAGGTGACTCACTGGGAGCCGCTGCCCCCGCGGGGTTTAACTGTCCCCGCCGGCGAGCGCAGCGGAACCAAGCTGAGCCCTGATCAGTCTGCTGCTCTGTAGGGAACCAGCCTGAGCAGAAGTCTCCTTCCTGAGTAAACCTCCCCAAGTGTCCCCATCACCCCGGGCTAGGGGGGTTTCCCTGCATCGGAAGCTGGAAGAAAAACCTAGTCCGCGCTTCCCACCTCGGATCTGATAACGCGCCCGAGGGCGGGAGCGGTGACCCGGAAAAGTGTGAGAGAGCTCTGGCGCTTCTCTGCCTCCGCCGAGGCCTGGGGGTGAGGTGGGGTAGGGTGGTCCACCGGGCCTGCTTTCACCCCCTTGAGCCTACGTTTCCCTACAAATTATTAGGGAAATAATTCAGGCAGTGAATTTCTTTCCCTCCTCTGTATATGCGAATGTACTTTCTCCTCTTTGTCTTGAGTTTGTCCTCTGAGATTGAATTATTTACCACTAACTTTATTCATGATTTTTCTTCACTTTCCCCCCTTCACTTTTAAAAGCATAAGAATAAATATGTCTCTTAGCATTAACCGCCGGTCTCTATTCTTTGAAAGAGAAAAGTTCACGTCTTTGAAGAGTATGTCTTCAAAGTCACATTCTTGGGGGCAAATAATGAACTGACTGTGGGCGACATTTAGGCGTCTGTGGGTTGATGACTTTGGAGGGTTGTGTGCACCTCATGACTTGTGCGTGTTCAGGTGAGTTCTGAGCGTCTAACGTCTTGAAAGGCTGTCAATCTTGGTTGTTTTTGTGTTTGTTTAGGATTTCGATAATCCTGAATAAAAACAGAAAAATGGCCTTGACTTGAGGGTTGGAGAAAAGAAATTGAGCGATTGGGAAGCAAGGCTGCCCGATGCATATGGAGATCCACCATCTCTCCTCTGGCTGAGGAAAGAGGAGTGGACCCTAAGGCTTGGGCGTCGGAAGTTGCTTTTCAGCCTTTTTTTCTCTGCGGTGAACAAGGGACGTTTCCAAGCGCAACGGACCCTGCCACCCCAAGTCAGCGGGACCTCTGGAGCCTTGACGGTGACAAGGGTGGAAAGAGGCGAGGAAGAGCGGAACAAGCCAGGGCTCTCACCAGGGTGGCTAGGTGCCTCTGGGTTCGGACCCCGCAGGCTGCGCCCCTGAAAAGCCCCAAGCGCCGCCGCAGTGGCTCTGGGCTCGGCCCTTGTCACCCGTCATCAGTTCCTTCAGCTCATTATGCAGAGGCGGAAACCAAGGCTCTACAGAGTCTGTGGCAAAACTTAAGGTGATCTTGAGTTCACCATTGATAAGCTGTGCAGGGCTTCCCCCGAGCCCTGAGCCTGGATTTCCGCAAAGATCACCAAACCCCAAGAAGAGTAAATAAAAATATTTGCACTGGCGAGTCTATAAAAAGGGTTGAATTCGCTGTCAGGATGGGGGTTTTGGACTAGCTGGAGGGGTGCGCACCTCTGAGCCCCCTCATGTGGTAGGGATCTTCTCCCTCCTCCTGTCCCTGCTGCGAAGGCCTCGCTGTGACCACGACGTCCACCCCCCTCAGCCTGAAATCCCTCATCCATAAAGTCGGGGGTGGGGGGTCTCCAGACAAAAGAACCCGGCGCTGTTGACTTCCCGCCTGGCACATAGCGAATCTGGGTCCGGACGGGGAGGCCTCCCGCAGCTGCCCAGAGCCTCTCCCCTCGGCCTGCTCCGCCGGTGACCCGAAGCCTTCCGGGGCCACGCCTCGCCCCAACTCCCGCGGAACTGCAGAGGAGGCATATCCTGAGTGGCCTGCCCCGGGGCACGAAGCCCCAGTTCCTGCCCCCGGAACCGGTGCACTCCTCCGGCGCCCCAGCTAGCGAGGCGGCCCCTCGGGGCCCGGCAGCTGCGCGCTCCGCTCCCCCGGCCGGAGGTGAGAGCGCCCCGCGGAGCCCCTGTCCGCCCACGCCGGGCCCGCTCTGGTCCGAAGGCCCCTGGGGACTGTCGCCGCCAGCCGGAGTCCCTGCGCTGCCCACTCCTCCCAAGGCCCCAGCCGGCAGAGGTCTTCCTGTTCCTCCAGTGCTCGGCTGTACATTCCTCAGTCCGGACGCAGGCTGCCCCTGGGCACGCAGACCGTGGGGGTTGGGAATTCACTGTCACCGTGGCCAGAGGACCCCATCCCGAGGAGAGAAGCCACTTCCCTCTCTGCCTGCATCAGCGGGCCACAGATGGCCTGATGCACAGCCAGTGGGACATTTTTGGGACGCCCTTTGCAAACGACATTAAAGATGCTGTTTTACCTTCAGCATGGTGTTCACCTAATAGATAAAGGTAGTTTGATGCCCAGATTGGTTCTGAAGAGTCATGGCAGGAGTGCGATCCAAATCCACCCTCCACCTGGGAGCCTGGAGCTTCTTCGACCTTTGGAGAGTGGGGCACAGAACGGTTGCGGAAAACTGAAGTAGGGTTAATGCCATACTTGGGCCGTCAAGGGCTGGATACTGACACATGGTACACCTGAGATGCCATTACTTTTTCAAATATCGTTCCCAGCTATGGGCATTGTCTTCGGACAAGTTACGCAACTTTTCTGAGCCTCAGTGCCATTGTCCATCACCACGTTACTCTCCCCATCAGATGCCTCAGCATCAGACTTCCCTAGCAGTGGACATCTCCCACGTCAATTCTGCCATCAGTTCTCCAGACCTGAGGGCAGAGATGCTAGAGGACGTCATGCTGTAGCCCTAGCAGGTCCTGTTTACGTTTTCTACTAAACAAAACAAAAAACCAACAAAACAAAACCCTGCTGTTTGTTGTTATTAGGTGCTGTTCAGTCGCCTGCGATTCATAGCAACCCTGTGTACAATAGCCCTAACCCTGCTCTATCCTGTGCTAATTATACTGTCTCTGATACAACTACCCCCATTACCCCAGTCACTGAATCAATCCATCTCATCCTCCTCTCTTGCACTGTCCGTCCACCCTCCCAAGCATGACATCCCTCTCCAAGGACTGATCCCACCTTGCAATATGTCAAAAGCATGTCAGATGAAGCTTCAAGAATCCTTGCCCTCTCTAGGACAAACTTGTTTGTTCTCTTAGCAGTCCATGGTATATTCAATACTCTTCTCCAGCATCACAGTTCAAAGGCAACTGTTCTTCTATCATCCCTAGTCATTGTCCAGTTTTCTGATGCATAGCAAGTAATTGCAAAGACCATGGCCTGTATCAGGTGCACTTTAGTCTCCAGACTG